ATTTAATTCCTCCTCCTGGCAATAGTTTCCTTCTTAATTTTTAGCCTTCTTTCCCCTTCCAATGAACTCTTCAATCTACAGTTTATTTTTCTCTTTATTTCTATCAGAAGTTTACCTAAACGATTTTCATTTTACTCCCATGTCTGTGTCTTCTGCCATGGATTCCTTGAGCCTGTTCCCATCTGCTCTTAAAAAAGAATAAATTTCTCTGAATAACTGGCTTTCAAACATAATCAGAGTTAAGATGCTTTAATTATAAAGCCACTTAAGTCTTTCCTTTCAAAGAAATGATTGAAGATAGCATTTGAACATGTGGGTAAAGAAAACCATAAGGTAGATCTTAGGAGTAATGTAGAAAATGAAACTGGCCAATCTTACTAAACCTCTCTCAGAAAGGAGGCATACTAACCCACTGGGCAAATACTTTGTTTTTCCTGTGTTGTTAAATGTTCTTGTTTCGGTGGTTAAATCACCATGAAACCATTATTGACCTACGGTGATTATAATAGCAACTCTTTGTGAATGTTAATGAACCTCATAGAAATCATAGCATTACATAATCTATCAAAACAGATAGTAACAATTTATTATGATGGTTGAAATTTTGTTTAGAAAGTAACCCTATTTAAGTTTCTCTCAAAATGTATGTGAATGTGTGTGTATGTGTGTGTATATATAGGAAGTAACCCTATTTAAGTTAAGGAAACCTACTTCTTATTTAAGTAATCCTTAAATAGGAAGTAACCCTATTTAAGTTTCTCTCAAAATGTATGTGAGTGTGTGTATGTGTGTGTGTGTGTGTGTATTAGGAAGTAACCCTATTTAAGTTAAGGAAACCTACTTCCTATTTAAGTAATCCTTAAATAGGAAGTAACCCTATTTAAGTTTCTCTCAAAATGTATGTGAGTGTGTGTGTGTGTATGCATGTGTGTGTATACACACACATGCATACACACACACGGTTTCAGTAGTTAAGACATTCTTCAGGGCGGGTGCAGTGGCTCATGCCTGTAATCCCAGCACTTTGGGAGGCCGAGGCAGGCAGATCACGAGGTTAAGAGATCGAGACCATCCTGGCCAACATGGTGAAACCCCACCTCTACTAAAAATACAAAAAAATTAGCTGGGCATGGTGGCGTGTGCCTGTAGTCCCAGCTACGTGGAAGGCTGAGGCAGGCGAATTGCTTGAACCCGGGAGGCAGAGGTTACAGTGAGCTGAGGTCGCACCACTGCACTCCAGCCTGGTGCCCGGTGACGGAGTGAGACTCTGTCTCAAAAAAAAAAAAAGACATTCTTCAATATGGTACTCATATGGGAGAAATACTCATTATATATAGGACCAATGACTTTTCTTTAAAGGAACTAGAGAAATGTTCCTGAAGTATATTGTTGTTTGGAAACTTGGCTGAAAAGACATGTAAGAAATAAGCGTATTCGTCACCTGAGTCTATCATTCTTAAATGAAAAATATGTCAGAAATAAGCATTTATGTATTACATGGGTCTGCCATTATTAAACATCTAGTTATTTTATTTCATTCTTTCAACAGTGATTAAAACCTCTGCTTTCAGAAAGATCTTTGGCAGTAATATTTAGCAGTAAAATGACCTTTTGCTAAATTTTGAAAATAAGGACTAGAATCAGTATTCTGTAAAATTTATAATGACATTACCTATGTTTTTGCAAACATTTCTTATTTTGGCATAAGTATTTTCCTTTAATAAAGTATATAATACAGAGCTAATTCCTGTGTTCTTCTTTGTAATATACTTGGCTACCTTAAATACCTTCTAGCAGAGATTTGATTCTTTAAAAAAATATTAAATTTCCCTTAATTATAAAAACAAGGCTGAGCATACCTGAATTTAACATCATTTTTGACACTTTTAAAACTTATATTCTTGAACTAATTCTTCCATCACAAAACTCTGTCTCTGTGTATTAACAGTTTATTTTTGTAATGATAATTAATATATACAAAGCACCAATGGAGTGCCTCACCATTAGTAAGAGCCCAAAGTCAAAAATACTGCTATATAACTTTCATTTCATCAGTTTATCAATTAAATGAAATAAGTACATACAAGTATATAAACCACATATTTAGCACAGTGTATTGTAAGACTTCATAGATGATAACTAAAATGTGTACTGTAAAAGGAATCAGAAATGTAGAAAAAAAGTATACAAAATGCAGAAGTTATCTCAAATATTGGCCAGTTACAAAAATACAGTATTTTATTTATTTTATGTATTGTTAAATTTAAGGGAGTCTGAATTATGTGACATCAAGATACACACTTATTTTCAAAGCAAGGACAATCTTATTCAAATTACAAAGTAAATAAGAGCAGAAGTATGCATTATTTGTTAACTACTTAGTGATATATTGTTGATCTCACAGAAATGGCATTTGTCTGAAGAGGAAAATGTACATTTAAAAAAACGAACTGTTATAACAATATTTTTGCACATGGGAAACACACACAAACACACAGAAACATACAATGGGAACCTTTCGAGAATCTTTTTGAAACCTTCTAAAACTGACCTATCTTCTGAATTCTTGTTACTCAAAGTGTGTGAGTAGATCAACACCATCAGAGTAACCTATGTGATGAATATAGATTCTGCAGCCCTACCCTAGACTCACTGAATGAAAGATCTGCAGTTTGATGAATGTGCATATAAATCTCTATGTAACTCATATTTGTTTTAATCTTGAGAAGCAATGCTTTAAATCAAACTGAGAAAAAAAGTCAGAACAGAGCTTAGAGGGCTGCATATATTTTAGCAGAATGATCCAGATAGGAAAAAAAAAAAACAAATGCTGCTAGTGGAAATCACAGAGTCTTTATATGTTGTTTTGTGTAAATAAAACCAATACATATGTCCTTAAATAATCATTCTAGTGCCTCATTGTACAAGCTTACTTCAGGGTTATTTGTCTCTTACTGGTTTCTCCAGTGAGGAGGAGAGATAATAGACAATTAAACAAATAAAATAAAACATGGCTGTGGGTTATGATGGAAGAAGAACTCTTTGAGTGTCAGGGAAAACTTCTTTGAGAAAGTGACTTTTGAACTGAGACCTGTAGGATGAAAAGGATCCAGTCTCAGAGCATTCCAGGGTTGAAATCCAAAGTCCTTAGTTGCTGAAGACCATGGCTTATTAGAGAATGAGCTGGCAGAAAAATGGAAAAGAATTATATATGGTAATGTTTGAGAGATCAGCTGCAGCTAGCTCATGTCAGAAGTAGGCCACAATAAGATGATTGTATTTGTTCCATGTGCAATAAAAAGTAGTTGAAGAATTTTAACCAAAGAAGTAAAATGATTATTTATGCTATAAATTCTGCAAACAATGTATTGTAGAAGGTATCAAGCATGGGGTCAGTGGGAATAGGTGAAAAACTCTTGCTATATTCTAAGGGATAGATGGTGGTGGCTTATATTGGAGTATTGTAGTGAAATGTATGGATTTTAGCTATAATTAGCCTGTAAAATCACATGGAAAAGAAGGGTATCAAGGAGATTCCTACATTTCTGGCTTGAATACAAGGTAAATTTTCAGTTTCCTAGAAAATAGGGAAGGAATTAAGAAGGTATATGGGAAAATTGAAGAGTTCCAATTTGGGTTAAGTTTGAAAGGCTGTAGAATACCTTGAAGATTAAGAGAATGGATTCTGAAAAAGTTCAAATCCTACTCTGTCCTTTTACTAGCTGTGGATCTTGAATAATTCACTTAAACTGTGCCTCATTTTTCTCATCTTTAAAAATAGGGATGATAATAATACCTGCCATCCAGGGTTGTTGTAAATATTAAATTGGATCATACTCCAAAATATTAAGAACAGTTCATGATACAGTATAAACAATACATAATTATTGCCATTATTATTGGTCACACAAGTGGCAGTGTCACATAGAAAATCTGATATGTAAACATCAAGTTTAAAGGAAAGTGATTGACATTCTAATTATTTTCAGAAAGCATTTTTTCCTCATTATACTTCTTTTGAGTGAATGAAAATTATCCTAGAATAGTTTCTACTGTTTTTTGCCAACTTATCTTTCTCTCTTTCTGTGGATCACAGAAGGGAGTTGGTGTGGAGTAGATTAAGAAGGAAATGACTCGAGGCCATCCTGGCCAACATAGTGAAACCCCATCTCTACTAAAATATAAAAATTAGCTGGGCGTGGTGGCACGCATCTGTAGTCCCAGCTACTCGGGAGGCTGAGGTAGGAGAATTCCTTGAACCTGGGGGGTGGAGGTTGCAGTGAGCCGAGATCGAGCCACTGCACTCCAGCCTGGTGCCTGGTGACAGAGTGAGACTCTGTCTCAAAAAAAAAGAAGGAAATGACTGCAAGAAAATGGAAACTTCATATTCCAGTTCTAAAAAGAACATCTCATTCCTTTTTACAACTACACAATTCCAAAAGCAGATTCCAGTTTTTAATTGATGGCAAATAAATTTTCCTTTATTAATTAATCATTATGATTTCTGATTTGTCCAATATATTAAATACTGAAACCACAAGGAATAATCTTTGACTTGCTTGCTGACCACATTGTCAAATTTTAACCTTTGAAATGGCAGGTATACTGACACAGTAAGTCTTCTCCTTCAGGTCTGTTTTCTCCTTATTGCATTATAACAAAATACTAATTGCCTTATGGAGTTTAAGTACACAGACCTACAAATATATGAATGGCTTTAAACACGAGCTTCATTTATTCTTCTATTTAATGAAAAAAGAAAAATTATTTAATGATCAATTTTGATAGATTGTTATGTTCTGTGAATTCCAAGATAAACATAACAATATACTTACCTTCAAAATTATAAACATGTGAAGTGAATTAATCTCTTGCATTTCTTTCAAGCCTTTATAAAAAATACTACATAAATGTTATTTATTATAGTTATGGCCATTAATATATTAAAATACTTCTTGAAGCAAGTGAGTGTCATTTTTCATTTCCTATTTTTTTGGCAGCCTGGAAATAGGGTTATGAGAAGAAGCTCAGAACAGAGCAGCAAAAGTGGCCACCAGCAGCATGAAGAGCCCAACAATTCAAGCTGGTAAGTGGGTCTCTTTTTCTATGTTTCAGGAAATCTGTTGATTCTGTGTCTTATGGGAAAACGTTTATAAATAAAAATGAGAAAGCTTCTCAAATGTAGCCTAGGAAATTTATTCTCATGACTTGGAAGACTTTAGGGTGGTGGTATTCTGTGGGAAACTTGACCAAACATTTTTATAGACAGACATGGATTTAAAGTAGCTGTGTAGGACTGTGAAAGTTGCTGGCATTGTTTGATTCTTAGTTTCCTTATTTTGAAATGGAGATTATTATAGTTATTTTATTAAATTTCTATAAGAATTAACTAAGACATTGCATGTAAAGAATTCAGTACTTTTCTTAGCATAGAGAAGCAGCTTAGAGATAAAAGACTAATACTAACTGAATACTTTTCAAGTACCAACTACTAAATACTTTTCTGTATTATTTAATCCTCACCTCAACCTGAAATTAGTAGTGATAATTACCCTTATTTTATAGATGAAAGAAAGTTTGCGACTAACAGATGATGTGACTTGCCTTCAAATCATATGCTGCTCCCTGAGACAGTTATTTTGTGTGCAATTGTATCCATTGCCAAAATTTCTATTTTTTGTATTTATTTGTAAAGTCGAAAAACCTTTATTATCTAATATATGCCTGGCTTCTTTCAGCTGAGATGCCATGCTACTTCACAAATAATTATTACTTAGTATATGATGACTATATATTTATATGAGGCCTTATATTTATAAATAGCTTATGAATACATAAATGTGTTTAGTTTTCACATACTCTATAAAAAATGCAGGGTGGGGATCATTATTCATATTTTTACAGATTAAAAAAATTCAGATTCTGAGAGATTAACTGGCTCTCTGGATGTCTTAGAGCTCAGTGCTTAGACTCTCTGTGGGCAAGGGTTAGTTTATTTTTAACCCATTGCAGATTGAATGTTTCTGTAAAATACTAAACATTAATTGCTGGAAAAAAATGAAATGATAGAAGACAGCAAATATACATATCTATATTTTTATTCTTGTCATTATTCTATAAACACAAAATTACCTCATTTCTATAAAATTTTTTATACTTTCTCCCAATATCCATAATCCTTATGGTGCAGACCAGTTACTGTTTGCAGACTGATACCACTTTGGCCATACAGGTGACAGCTGACCATACAGCACTGGTAAAACTCGTGATACAAGTGTAACACTCAATCTGGGGTTTCCATCTCCTAGTCCAGGTCTTCTCATAGTACCCTAGACTGCCTGAACACACAGTGACAAACCTGTTTTATGGTCCAAGGGACAGGAAGATCAACTTCCAAATTGTTAAAATGGAAGCGGTGCAAGAAAAGTGAAAAATGACAAAAATTATATAAGAGTTCTATGAATCAATTGACATTTAAAAAATTAGGAAAACACTTGGAAGCCTGTAGGAATGACTTATTTTACATTGATTTATAAAACATCAAGACTTCTAAAACTTCAATATGTGTTATGTTTTTGAAAAACTTTCTCAAGATTTCTTATGTCTCTTCTTTTTTCATTTTGTTTATTCTTTGAAAAGATAAGTTAAATTGTATTTAAAAGACTAGCTCTTGTCAGTTCAAAGCAGTATACAGACCTGTGTACAATTCTAAGAGATAAATGTGGGTCCTGGCCTGCTGTGAAATAAAAACAAACTCATTTCCACACTACATTGAAGGGGCTTGAAAATAAATGTTACTTGTTCATTCAAAAACTACCAAAGAAAACTGCAGCACTTTTGGTGCAAAGTAAAATGTACATTGAGTCAGCAATGAAAATTTACTTTGTAAGATGATTACGTGGCTTTCTCAGTTCTACTGAAATGGATCCAAATATTTACATGTGCTATTCTATTAATAACTATTTTACCATCTGTGTCAAAGTAATATTACACAGATGTTCAGGAATAGCTTTTGGTTGTGAGTAAACATTAAAGGAAGATTGAATTTTTCTCAAAATGATGCTGATGGAATGTTTTTTATCATGGTTTAAGATGTCAGAAATAAGTGTTTTTTTAAAGTTCTATGAGCTTCACAGTGCTTAATGTAGCTTAAAATGGCTATAAGGCCACAGGGAAAGGTGGCATTTTATGGTAATATTCAAAGCTGAGATATTCAGGCAACCTATCATTAGTTTCTGGGAAGACTCTACATTGCTAAATTGAAATTCATAATCTGAAGTAAAGAAAACACCTATGGCTTTCAGTAATATAGAGAGACTCTGTGCTGCTTCCCCCTGACTCAAAGATCCAAGATTTGTATTACTCAGGAAGTTAAGCAGTCATACCTGGGCACCTTTCTTCAATCAGTGACTCTGCATTTGTGTTTATTTAGTGATTACTTCTGCTCCCACTGAAAAGGGAAGAAAGGAATGCATTATGTCCCAAGAAAGAGAGATGTAGTCCCAAAAACATTGTAGGTGTCACAATCATGGGAATAGAGACAGTAGTAATGTGTACATGCCCACATGTGTGCGTGTGAGAGAGAGAGAGAGAGAGAGAGACAGACAGAGACAGAGAGAGACAGAGAGACTCCAGAGATTTTATCAGATCAAGGTGAGAAGACCATAGAGTGGGTAAAGATGATGATCCATCTACCAACATTCTAGAAGAATTGCATTAAGTGAATGTTTTCTACTCATTGGAATTTGGGCCTGAACTTCTTCATAACAATCTACTCTTCAACTGCAAAGGTTAGAAGCTTTCTGCTAATAAAATAAGTTATCAGTAGAGCCAAGGGCTAATGGTTAATCTTGTCACCTGTCCGTTAGAAAACCCTATGCTTCGATCGATTTTTATCACAATCTCAGGTCAGTAAAGAAAAAAAAAAATAGGGCCGAATGCGGTGGCTCAAGCCTGTAATTCCAGCACTTTGGGAGGCTGAGGCGGGTGGATCACAAGGTCAAGAGATCAAGACCATCCTGGTCAACATGGTGAAACCCCGTCTCTACTAAAAATACAAAACATTAGCTGGGCATGGTGGCGCGTGCCTGTAATCCCAGCTACTCAGGAGGCTGAGGCAGGAGAATTGCCTGAACCTTGCGGTGAGCCGAGATCGCGCCATTGCACTCCAGCCTGGGTAA